TATACTTATAAAACGATTCTCGTCAAATTTTAAACCTGGTCTTTATATATATATATATATATACGAGATATGTTTTTTTCTGAATTATGAGTAACAAAAAAAAAAAATTACCTTCTAAATTTTTTTTATTTATTTCTGAGTTCAAGAAATTTGCACATACATATTGAAATATAAATCTTTATTATACTCTTGTAAAATAATTACATTCGCAAATTGTTGCAAAAATGAGTGAATTTTTTTTGCGCACGGAAAAAAATTAAATGTTTAAGGGGGGGGGGGGGGGTAAGTTTAATTCCATGAAAAAAATGCATATTTTTACGAATTTTTTTTGGCTATACAGAAAGAGTTAATATATTTATTAAATTTTTATATAATAGTACAACATTTGAACAGTATTTCATCAAAGTTTAATTGCAAAATATTGAGAATTGATCGAGTGACAGTACATTTCCTCTGGCTCCCCAAAAAAAAGTTATTTACGGTGTTCACTGTAACTCGCAATAGAATCATCTAAAACAAAAGAATCAAAATGGATTTGTTAAAGGAGATGTTTTTCTAGGGATCCCTGGGAGGGTTTTTTTTTTATTTTTGAATTTATGGAAATTTATGAGGTAATTTATAATTATAATACAAACAAAATTCAAGATTCAAAAACTATTGCAGAAAATTTAAGTTGTAATTTATGAAAATTTATGCGGTAATTTATGAAATTTTTCAGGTAATTTATAATTGTAATACAAAAAAAATTTAAGATTTAAAAATTATTGCAGGAAATTTATGCGGTAATTTATGAAATTTTAGCGGTAATTTATAATATATAAAAGAAAAATTTGAAAACTAATTTTGGTAATTTATGGTAATTTATGAATATTTTAATGTAATTTATAATATATAAAAGAAAATTTTAAAAACTAATTTTGGAAATTTATAGGGTAATTTTTGGTAATTTATGGAAATTTATCTGGTAATTTAAGAAAATTTAATGGAAATATATATGTTTTAAATAAATTGCGTCCTGCCGGCAGGATGGTGCAATGTGCGGAGAAGCATCCTGCCGGCAGTATGCAGCGTCTTGTCCAAGTGTCCTGCCAGAAGACCCTTCCAGCAGGATGGGCGCTTGGACATTCTATCATTAAAATATCAATACTTTTGAAAATTACCAAAATTTAATTATTTTTATTTTATAAATAATTGTCACAAAATCCTCACTTTTTTCGAAAATGTAATTTTATTTTGGAATTTTTTTAAATTCTCATTTTTCAAAAAAAAAAAATTTCTTCTTTGATAAAATTTTATATTTTCTTAAAATTTTGATTTTCTTTTCATTTTCTAAAATTTTCATTATTCGAAACCGTTTTTTTTTCGTCAAATGTTTTTTTTTAATTACTAAAATTATTATGAAAAAAGAAAGTTAAATTTAACTGAATTATAATTACCGGAAATTTTAATTATTTTAACATAACCTAAAATTGAATTTAATTATAATAATTAGTTATTTTTAACTGTACACTAAATTTTTTTTTTTTTTTTTTTTAGAAATTATCCATGTATAATTTGTAGTTATATCAAAATTTGTAAAATTGTCATATTTAATAAGGTTATATGTTCACACTTTAAATACCAAAACTTTTACATTTTCGGTATTTTTATCACTTTTACACTATATAGGTAATAATTGACACAGCGCCCTAAACCAATATTACCTAAGTTTGAAAGTGTTAAAAATACACGTCGGCTAAAACTTCCACAACATTCATGATCAACGATTTAGAAGAAAAAAAATTTTTTTTTTAATACATATTATTATAATTTTTTGCCCAAAAAAAAATTTTTGCATTTTTTTTTAATAGACAAAATTTTAGAAGAAAAATTTCATTTTTCGCAAGGAAAAATATTTATTTGTCCATTAAATTTTTTAAAGAAATTAATAAATAATAAACCCTCATAACAAAAGGATATCCATATCAATGGTCGATATCCTAGAATGGTCCCCAGGATATGTTGGGATATCTATAGGGATATCCAAACCGCCGGTCTGTGGGACATCAACAGAACATCCATAGGATAACCACAGGATATCCCTAAGACATCCACAAAATATCTGTTGGATATTATATCGCAGGATATCCATGGGATATCCTCAGGATGTCCGTGGGATATCCTCAGGATGTCCGTGGGATATTCTTAGGATATTCACGGGATATTTAATATCTCAACATATATTTTTAAATGTTAAAATTGTTAAGCTAATATAATGAATAATAATATAATAAAAACAAAAATCTTATGAGCTTCTAATTTATTTTAAATGAAGATTTGAAACGCAGTTTTCAAAGTTTTTAAATAAACTCACGCACTTAATGTATAATTAATATTAATAGTTATTCGTTATTTGCGGGGAAGAATTTATATTGTTTAAAGCCAACTTATTTTCTGACAATATTAAGCATATGAATAAAGGAATGAATCACGAATGAGTAAAAAAATTTCGAAAAAAATTCCATATTTAAAGTATAGAACATAACCTCATTAAATGTGTCAATTTTACAAATTTTTATATGCAACTATACAAATTATACATTGATAATTTCCATAATAATTTTTGTAATTGATTACTAGAAATAATATTATTTAAATCACTGACTTTTTGTTAACTTTTTGCCACTGCACCGATTTTGGTCATTTTCAGATTTCTTTTGATATTATTAAATTTTCTGCAACTATTTCATTACAATGTATACATTTATAGAATTTGGAAATAATTTAACAAAAAGTGTGACAACTTATTTTTGATTGAAGTTTAGTTGGCTCAATTGAAAAAAATATTTATTTTTTACAGTGCAAATTAGAACAATAATTTTTTGTTCATTGTTAGTGTATAAGCTGTCATAACATCATTGTTAGAAAATAATTATTATTTAAAATTAATAGCAATATTTTTGTAATTTATCTCTTTTATATATTATATATATATATATATTAATTTTGAAATAATAACCTTAAATATTTAAAAAAAACTCGTGGCCAAAATTAGAACAAAAAGTGGCTAGAAATGGTGCAATGGCCACAGCTGGTGAAAAAGAACTTTTGAAGCAATATTTAATTTTTTTAAAAATAATAAACAGTTTTAAAATATTTTGAATTATCGTAATTAAATTAATAATATATATATTAGACTTGATAAAAAAGAAATTATAATTAAATATAGTATGCGAGTTAGTGTATTTATTTTTTTAATAAAAGATGACAAATCGTTTCAAGTGGCCACAAATCTACCCTATTTTTTTTTTGTATCCATAAAATGGCATTTTCATCGATTCCAAAAAGGCTACAAAAAAACAAAGGAAACAAAAAAAAATTTATCAAATAAACTCTGTATACGAAAATGTTTAAAGAATCACAACACTTTTTCATCACATATATTCGCACTTAACAATATATTAATCTAGAATGTCCCGAAAAAAGTTGATCAAACCACAAAAAAATCCATAATATATAAAACAAATTATTATCAAAGAAAACTTTTGTTAAAAATTTTTTTTTTTTTTTTATAATTTATATCCAAAGTAGCACGACACTCACAAGAGTCTAGCAAACGATATATAGAGGTGTATAAGCATCATGTTTGGTTGACACATAAGAACAGCATATGATATACCTCATACGTCGTACATGTGAGTTTGTTGAGTCAGGGGGCTGCGAGAGAGGAGTGAAGAGGCGATGGGAGGAGGGGGGGGGACAGAGAGTAAAGGGAAGAATGAATCGCGGAAGGGGAGCGACGTGAGACGGAGCACCGATGTGGTCGTCGCTAGGGCATACGAGGGGAATGGGCAGAGAGGAGAGGGACTAAAAGCAGGCCTGTTGGTTGGTTTCAACGATATTTGTTTATATTTACACAATAAGCAATGGCCCCGCCGGTTATACCTCTCTGCCGCTTTTAGTTTAGTTCTCGCTTCTCCGTCGACGCGTTAACTTTTAAAAATTTTTTTTTCGTTCCTTCATTTTTTTTTTCAAAAAAATTTTTTTCAAAATCTATATTATAGTAAAAAATCAGTATTTCTTATCAAATACAATAAATACCGGGCGCCGCGTGTGCTATTCGACCGGGTGTGTGCAACAAGACACACGCATGTTATGCGTGCTATATACAATATATATCTATATATAGATATAGTGTGTAAACCATTGTTCTGTTGGGAGAAATTTTTTTCTCAACTTGACAACAGTTAATTACCATTTTTTTTTTTTTTTTGGCTAAATAGTGTAGTGTTAGTTTGTAATAAAGGAAGCGGAAGTGTAATGAATCTACGATGAATTGAAGTTGAATATATACGAACAACTTGAGATTATGTTATAATAATAATAATAATCGTATATATATATATTATTACATATATGAACAGTCACTGTTTGATATATATGTGACGTAATGGAAACATTCATCGAGAAGAGAGAAAAAAAAATAATAATCTCATGGTGAATAAGAAGAAAGAAGCATCTTGTGTAGTGGATTGCTTGTGTTAATTGCCGTATGTTGAAGTTCTAATAAAAGTAGTGACGTGATATATACATATTCTGCGGTGATCTGTTAAATGCAGACTTCATGACCTCGAAGTGAAATTCAATTTTGAAGAAAGGAAGGAAGTTGAGGAAATTGTCCTCGCAAAGGAAAACGATGTAAAAAAAAAAAAAAAAAAAATTGCAATAATTTAATTCTTTTTTTTTTTTAATTTCGTTTTCTTAATTTTTTTTTTTTATCTCAATATTTTTTGTGCAGCGGATAAAGAATAAAAAATAATTGCAAAATATTATTAAATATATTGTAATTAATTTATTTAATTTCAATGAAATGTATAAAAATATTATAAATGGATGTTTATATAAACGTTGGCTATTGTTTTGATTACGTAATTTTTGTCAATAATAATAATAATAATAATAATGATAAATGAGATTTTGAATGAAAGTGGGTAAACAATAGGAAAATTTCGTGATTTCAGGACGATGGCATAATGGATCATGACACAGACGGAGACGGCGCGATCAACCTGTCAACGTCGCAGCGACCCTCCGCCTCAACCACCCCTAATGGTGAAACCCCGACCTACGGACAAGAACAACAAGACAACGATCAGGTAAGCACTTGCTGTTTTTTTTTTTTTTTTTTTTTCGGAATAAATTTGTCTCTCTTTTTTTTCTCCCGCAAAACCACTAAATTATCTTTGTAAACTTTTTTCTCCGCCTATAGTATGGGAGCATTTCACAATGAGTGTATTTTCACATCATATTGTGAGAGTAATTTTATTTGAAATTAATTAATTTATTTTTAAATAATTAATTTATTTTAAATAATAATAATAATTATATAAATATCCCATGTGCAAAATGCCAAGACTGCGCTAATACGGCCCAACATTGGGCTAGTATAATGTTTGCCAAAGTACGGCAAACGTTACTGGACCAGTACTCTGCCGTACGAAACAAAAACTTAGTTAAGTCATATTTTTTTCGAACGGAGAAAATGACGAAAAACTGTTTGTATTTAAAAACCTAATGTAATATAAATAATTCTTTAATCTAACTTCACTTCCTAGGTAATTTGATAGAGTTCTTTTTAATTCTGAAGTCAAAAGTTAATTATTTAAACAAATTATATTAAATAATTGACTTACGTTTTATTTTTTAAAAGCAAAACTTGGTTAACTCGAGTTACGTAGTGCTTTTCGAAAAGGTAGGCGAGCGCGAGCCTTCGTTCAGAAGTAAGAACTTAGTTAACTCAAGCTAAATGCATCGGATTCCGAATTCACCCGACGAAAATCCGAACTTTAACGAAGTTGACTTACGCTTGATCCCATCGAAATGCACTGTCCGGCTCATGCCACTTTTCGAAAGAGAAGACACTCAAGTCGAGTTAACTAAGTTTTTATTTTGTATCTTATGCTCGATTTCAACGCTTCCTACGATTTTTGGACTACTCAACTCGAGTTAACTGAGTTTTTATCAAGTATTCTTTCATTTTCTGGGTTTTTGTAGATTTTTAATAACTATTTTTTGCAATAAATAATTAAAATAACAAATTTTTAATAACGTAATCAGACGCAGTTTTTTCTTACGAATCCATTGATACCAAAAACTCATTTTTGTCAAAAATATGACTTAACTAAGTTTTTACATCGTACTGCAGTACTGGCAATCAATTCTTCCCATTATTGGGCCAATATTGACATCGATTCTCGGTTACTCTAATTTGACGCATTATTGGGCCAAACTCCGTCACATTACTGGGCCAATATTGGCACCAATACTTGATAATTCTAATTTTCCATAATTGAGACGAACTCTGTCCCATTACTGCGGGTCGTTATTGGCCCATTGACGGTTGAAATGTTGAATTTATTTTGACAAGTCATTTTTTCCAAAGTTGGAACGAATCTTGGTCGAGTAATGGCGCATTAATGGCTGAAATGTCCCTCAAATGGAGCTTATTAAAACATTTTTGTATTGAGATTCCCATATTCGCGTCTAGTCTAGTGGTTAGCGTGTTAGACTTCGATGCGTTAGGTTGCGAGTTCGGTTCCCACGAGCGTTACAAAATTTTATATTTTTTCAAATGTTTAAACAATTACGCTTTCTGTCAATACTTATATTATAAATCTATAATGAATTAATTAGTTAATTAATTAATAATTATAATTTTTTAAACTTGTTTAAACTTTGACAATACTGGGCCACTAATGGCAGCCAAGATTGGCCCAGTAATGGCATATGATACTTGACTCCCTCGACGTCCAACTGCAGTTAACACGACAAGAGTCGGTCCAATATTGTATACCAAGGCTCGTTACCTGTTTTGCCAATATTGAGCCAGTATTTGGCCGTTATGGTTTTCGCACTTGGAATGAAATAAGGCAAATAAAACGAAAACATTCGGACAAAGAATAAAAATATATATTTATATTTAATCCAACGTTTCGAAATCGAATCGATTTCCCCTTCAGAGGGAGTCTATCAAAAAATATACAATTTGAATAATAACAATAAACAGTAAGTTAATAAATAAATAAAATATAATATATGAATAAATATGATTTAAAACCAAAATAATCGTTCTTTGGATTTTTCATTTCTCAATTATTATTATATATAAAAAAAACCGGTTTTAACAAAAAGTATAAAATAATAATTATAATAATTAATATTATTATATTACTGTTAATAATATTATAATAATATTTATAATTACTTGATTATTTTAAATAAATTTGAATATTAAAATTTCGAAAAAAGTTAAAATAAAATAAAATTTTCTTTTTGCGTGAAAAATATAAACAAAAAAAAAATGTGAACTAAATCCAACTCCATATCTCGAATAGAACGTTTGCAAACGATTTTGCGACCAAAAGATGAAGTAAACTGATAACTTTTTTTTTAAGATATTTTTTTTTTTGAGGTTTTTCTCGATTTGAAATCCAAGTCTCTCGCGGTAAGCTATGAACGTTTTGCAATCTAACGTTTGACACCAGCCACTATAAAATCGAGTCCCCTGATTTCAAATTCAATTCAAAATCCCAGCAGCGAACGAAATATATATATATATATGAATGTATATGTATATATAGTTCTTTGCCAAATGGCAGAAAGGGAAACAAATGTTTTATGACCCTTAAAGCGACCTATTCTATAGTTTGAAACTGAAAAGGGGAAAACTCTCTATATATCTAAAGTGCTTCGCGCAGGTAGAATAAAACTTCCCCATATATATATATATATATATATATATACATATATCGTTATAAACCTTCCAAAAACAATACGACTGTAATATATGTGTTTTTTTGGCCATATGAACATTATCATATATGTACATGTGTTATGCGAAGTGAATTTATCATTTGGATTTATAATTGCGCATTATTTATATGTCAAAAGAATTTTTTTTGAGAGGGGGGGAGTGGGATTTCCACAAATTATAATAATTAACATTAATGGGACATTTCATATCAAATTAGAATTTAGAATTTTTTTTTGGCAAATTCTAGGTGAAAAAATAAAGAAACCTGAGCAAAATGTTTAGTCAGAGCAACCAAAATTTGGTTAGGACAACAAACGATCATTTGGTTTTTTAGACTAAACTATTTTGTTGTGTTAACCAAATTATTTTATTGTCGTAACCAAATTTTGGTTGGAATTTAAAAATGTTCAACCAAATAATTTTGTTGGCCTAATCAAATGTTTGGTTGAGATAACTCTATGACTTTGTTTCAGCCAACCAAAATTTGGTTACAAGAACCAAAATTGCCTAACCAAACAATTTTGTTACAAACACTATAAATTTTTTTTCTCAGTGTACATTTTTTTAAACTTAACACACGGTCAAACGCGGGGTAATTATAACCACAAGAACGCTAATTTTCTACTCAACACGTAATTAAAATTCAGAATTAAAAAAAAAAAAATTTTTATTTTATTTAGTTTTGGTTTTTGAGAAAATTTCACTTTTTAGATATATATAATTAAATTACATCGTGAAAAATAATTTGTGCCATAACATAACCTCAAATTTCTAACTACTACTGTATTTTTACTATTTTTTTTACTATTATTATTTTTATTCTAAAACAGAAATTTAATTGTGGAAAATTTATTTTCTCCAACGCCTGCTCTGAAAGTGCAACTTTCTTGGTTAGAAAAGTATTGGGGAAGTTGAACATTTATTAATTCCTCAGCCGAGCGTGGGGAAGGTAAATCGTAATATATTTTTAGTTTTTCTTTGATAAATAATAAATAAATATAATAATAAATAGATAAAACATTGTTGAATTTAAAAAACCAAACAATTGTCATTGCATATATATACATTGTTAATTCTTCCTAATTAATAAAAATGCATTTCCTCGCGAGGCGTTAGAGAAAACGTCGTGTGCGACACGTGGGAAAAAATGATTTTTTTTCGAGTGATTGCTACTCATTTTGAAGTGCAACAAAAATTAGTCAGGTTGGTGGCGCCACTGTCTATGTCGTTTAGCATTGGCTCATTTTGAGTTGCAACAAAAATGAGACTAGGTTTTTTCTGTGTACGAGGTACTCTCAAATTAATTAAATTAAGTAATTCAGAACAATCAATTTTTATAATTTAATATGTATAAATTTAAATTTGGCGATTGGTCGTCTTTTGTTTAATGTGAAAACGTTTAATCTGATATAAAGCTCCAGATAATTCGACCCTCTAGGTGGATAAAAATTTACGAAAGTTGCAATATTTTAAAAATCGTTTTTATAAACTTTCTAAGAATAAAATATCCTTATCATAGACGGGGTAAGTAAGGCTAAATATTCAATTTTAGATGTAACAATCGTGTTAAATAAAAAGAATTTAAACATCAATTGACTTAGAATGTTTGGTTGATCGAATAAGATAACCCAAAGTTCGGGACGCTTTTTTATAAATACAGTAGGACTCCGGTTATCCGAGCTAATGTGGACCGAACCTACCTCGGATAAGGCGAAAACTCGGATAATCCGATTTGGTCAATATTTATTACAATTTAACATTATTATTGTTTAAACAATTATTATTTAATACAAACGGGAAAATAATTTTGAAAAAATACCAGAATAATTTAAACAATTTGAATTTATTAAAAATAAACTCATATTTATAAAAACTTTAAAATAACTCGGATGACGCGGATTAGACTCGGATAATGCAGAATTTCCTACTGGGACACCACCTCGGATAATTGAGACCTCGGATAAACGGGGTTTTACTGTAGTTTGTATATGGTTAGAAAAAGACAGATTGAATGAGAAAGTAATACCTAAATCACGAATAATATTTTTCCTAGGGATCAAACTATCCGAAGCTTCATAATCAAAAAGAAAGACATTATTAGAATTTTCGAAAGTAACAACGGAACTTTTAGTCGGGTTAAAATCAAGTTTATTTATATTACACCATTGAAGTAAGCTAATAATGTTTTTTTTTTTTGTAAAATACTACAATCTTCATCAGAGTTAATAACGGAATAAATTTTTAAATCATCAACAAAAAGTGAATTGTTTACATTAATAATATCGAATACGTCATTAATATAAATTGTAAAAAGAATTGACCCAAGTGTAGAACCCTGTGGTA